TTTGTTTTTCCATGGTTCTTTTTTATTTTTCAATTTTAGTCCTTCCCCGTAGCTTCTCCCTGTAGCTTCTTCTTGCATCAGAGAGTCGAACAGTTGGAAAGACTGTTTAGTAATTATTTCTAGTGCTGGAAATGATCCAACAACCTCGGCAAACAGAACCACGGGCTCATTGCACCACCCAGAGGTCATCTTGCAGAAATGCTGGGAGCTGGCTCATGGCATCAAGTGTGTGGCCACAAAAGCTCTAGACAGTTCTATACAGAATTCTTTTGTGCTTCCAAAAGAGGAATAATCTCACCTACTCTTTACTGAACTTTAAGGAGAAACTTGAGGCTTGGATAATCTTTTGGATCTCTTTGAAGAAAAGTTCAATTCGTAAGATGAAGATTGCTATTTCTCATTTTGCCTCTTCCAAGTAGGCAATGCTCAGGAAGCATTAAACGACAAGTTTCTGGAGTCCAGTGGACCTAGATTTTAATTTCAGCTTTCCTACTTCCAGCTAGTGGGTCAGTCATTCTACTTGTCTGGGCATCAGTTTCCTCAGCTCTGCAACTGGGCAGCACCTTTTCTATTTCAAGGTTATTGGGGGGCCCTGCAAGACCATCTCCCCTGGAGACTAACACAGAGCCTGGAACCTCGGGTGCACCCAGCCAGTGCTACTGCCCTTCCTTCCTTTTGAAGTGCACATGTCATGGAAACCATAGGCAGCTCTTTAAGTTTTCCAAGGTAGAAGGGGCCACTGCCCCAGCAAGGGAAGAAGAACAGTTTATTAAAGGATAATAAACCACAACACCTTTGAGAAGGCAGATGGGCCTCGCATTCCTTGTCAGCACAGCTTCCCAGTGGAGCAGTTTTTTGGGTTTTTTTTCTTTTGTGAAATACTTCTACAATCTCAATCTGAAGTGGCTAACTGGCTTGTATGGTTAGTCATAACACAGAAAGGCACCTGCTTTGAGAGCAAAGCTGCTTAATCTTCTAAGATTTCTTAGTTACTGATGCTCTAATTTCAAAACGGACAGGACTTGTAGGTCCCCTGGTGGGAGGGGGCATCAGGGTTGTTGGGGATTCTTATTGGAACTTCTAAGGAAAGGCACCTGTATCCCTCAAGGTGATGGAAGGCAGATTCTCCTTTGTAGAATGACTTTATTTTGAGGACAGGGGCAATGCTGTGCACAGACTATACTCTGTTGATTGCAATGGCCAAGAACTGTGCAAAATCGTTTTCATACTCTGTGAAGTGCTGTGTTCCTGGCTAGAGCCCCTGCAGAATTTGTCTCAGTCTTGATTTTGAATTCACAGTTTCTCTATTTGTGAATTTTACCTTGTTCAGTCTATTGAATGGGCAATAAAAAGATGTCTGTAGTTCAACTTTCTGATCCCTTATGAATCAAGGCACATGTTCAAATTGGACATGGATTTTTTTTTTTTCCTAGCTGCCTTTCTTTCCTTTCCTTTAGGTTGACTGGGTAGAAAATAAACTCATTTTTTGAAAGGGAAACTTTCTGAACAATATCATGTGCTTTAACATGAACAGTTTTGTAAACATGCCTTGACATGTTCAGATTGTCCTAAACGACACAACTGTAAAGGTGGAAAAGGTAATGGATAATGGGAAAAATATTGTTTCAGAATTAAGATTCATGTTCAAATTTTTAAGAGGATTTGCTCTATTTTTGGGTGATAGAAGAACCTTGTGCATAGTTACACAAGTACAGTTATACATAATGAAATATGCGGTGCTTGAGGTCATTTTTCCCTGAATACAGATGGCAGGGAAAGACGTGAACTGTGTATTTATGTCTCTTCCTTCATCTCTGTCCCCGTCCGCATACCACAGAAGGAAGCATCTTAGTCTAA